GCATCAGGATTTGGTAGTATCCGTCTACCAAATCCAGCGCACTGTACAGTACGCTCCCGGCCATGTTGTTCAACAACACATCCTTTCGTGGGATCGGTGTTTGGGCCGGCACCGTTGCGTTGTTCAGCTTGTTATAAGCGTGAACCAGACGCCACTTTCCGTTCGGCTTACGAACGCAGAAAGTCGGCGTCGAGTGCGGGGATTTCGATTCCCACACCATGCCTGCCTTCGCTTTCGCGGCGAAGAAGGCATCAATGACCTCGCACTGCTCGCGCGGGAGAGGCCATTGCCTCGTGACACAATACTTTGTGCCGGGCACGAGATCAATCTCGTGCCGTACGCCTCGATCCGGTGGGAGTTGGGTCGGTGGGTGTTTGTTCACCACGTCCGCATACTCCGTCACCAAAGGATACACCGGATCCTTGGGGTTCTTGAGAATCTCAGAACCCAAGCGCGCCTGACGCTGCTTGTTCATGTCTTCCAGGACGTTCTCGTCCAAGACAGAGGAGGAGTTCAGCTCCTCCTGAGTGGTCTCAGGTCTCATGAGTACCATCTCAGCAATCTCTCCAGCCTTGAGGTTGGCCAGGAAAGACTCAGCCGTCATTTCCTCGAGGTTCAGTATCTCTGCAACCTCTGGCAACGGTTCCAAATGGACACCAGATGCCTTGACGGGTAAACCTGTCTCGCCATCGAAGAAGTGATAACACTCTTCTACCGGCCTTGTCGGAGGAGCCCGGGCCCTGGACTCCAAGTCGCTTGAGGCGACGTCGATCGGAACGAAGTTCGGATCCGACTTGAGGCGGCGGTGGCGTCTTCGTCGACGGCGTCTGTGACGGGGAGCTTTGCTGCCCACGTCTAGGGATGTCGTCGCTACGACATCCGAGGCACTCGTGGCCTCGTGTGGTACTGTTGTACCCACACAGGAAGCGTGTTCAACGCCTTCCTCTTCAGTTAAGGTCTGGGCGACCGCGTGTGGCACTGTGTTACCCACACAGGAAGCGTGTTCAACGCCTTCCTCTTCAGTTAAGGTCTGGGCGACCGTGTGTGGCACTGTGTTACCCACTCTGAACACGCTGTTCTCAGTGTTCATGACAGCTGCAGCTGCCTGCGGAACTAAGTTACCCGCCTGTGGACCTAAGTTACCCACTTGGTCGGCGCCTCTTCTGGGCGCGGCCACCATCAAAACATCCTCGGTGTCGTCATATACGTCGACGACTCCCAAGCATCTGCCGGATGCTTTGGTACCCTGGCAGTCCTCGCGGGCGCCTCGGGTCCTGACAGAGGTGGGAACATGACTCACCAATGCTCTGTCGGACTGCGCAGGGCGGCTGGCACCGATTGCCTTGCCTCGCCAGTCGATCCAGGGCTCGTGCTTCTCAAGCCAGGGCATGCCCAGGATCATATCATATGGATCCATATCGAGAACAGTGAACTGTTCGAGGCTGTCAAAGTCTTCAAACTTGACAGCCAGATTTACTTGGACCTTGGGGACAGTGACGACCTTCCCGTCGGCCAGTCGCACTGACACCGTCCCGTTGCCCTTGCTTTCTCGCAAAGCTTCGGACAACTTGTTGCTGTTACGAGCAACCGTCTGGCGGCGTGCGAAATTCTTCGACGCCCCAGAGTCAATCAAGATTCTAAAGGGATGATCGTATCCCCGTACACATCCGTGTACTACGAGCAACCCGCCGCTGCTCTTTGCCGATTCGAGAGTGCGAAGACTCTCAGGGGCTAAATTTCCGTGTTACGCGCCACCCGCGCACCCATCACGAAGACTTAGTTCTTCCCCAGTAGGGCGCCCCGCCCCTACTAGTTCCCTGCGTTCCCCTGTCCCCGGGATCCTGGCTTCTGCCAGCGACCCTTGAGGACGGGCTTGGGGAAGGACCGTCTGCGGAGTCTTTCCGCGGGACAGTCGCGCTTGAGGTGGCCCATCTTCCCACAGCCGAAGCAGCGGATGTCACGCTGTTCGGCGGACCCGAGTTCCATGGGAACTGGTCCGTTGGGGCTTGTTCGACCGGGAGCCGACAAGGAGCTCCCAGGCCACGCTGAGGCCGGCGTACGCGCCTGGCGATGGCTGTACTCTTCTTGAAGAGCCACTTGAATCGCCTCTTCAACGGTGCTTGCCTGCACCCGGAACAGCTGAGTGCGTGCGGGGCCCACTCGAAGGCCGTCCATGAACACAGTCATCTTGATGTGCTCATTGAGTGGGTTTCCCACTAGGGACGCCGTGAGCTCCCGTATCTCTTGCACATACTCGTGCAGTTCGCGCCTTCCTTGTTTACACGCGAGGAAGCGCGAACGCTGGCGGTACTCGTAGTTCGCCGGGAGGAACGCGGCTCGGAGCTGTTCGCACAGCTGAGCCCAGGATGTGAAACATCCAGGGGATGTTGCTTCCCGAGTGTACACCCAACTCTTAGCACGACCGCTAAGGTTGGAGAGTGCAAAAGCAACACGCAGTTGCTCGGTCGAGTTCAGAGCCGCGTCCATCGCGAGCTCTACTTCTCGGACCCAGAAGTGAAGGTTCTCGCCTTCCTTCCCTTCATACGGCTTTACCTTCAGCCGTATTGGCTTCGGGTGAGGCGGATTTGCTTTCGCCGCCGGAGCCTGCAGGTTCTCCCGCACATGCGCGATGAGACCCTGCTCGTACGCGTCGAATGCATTGACGCGCTCGAGCTGCTCAGCCGGTGTTGATACCACCAGGCTCTGCAGGGCCTCCATCCCGAAGATGCCTGCCATCTTCCGAACTGACTCGAACTGAGAGTCGTTCATATGGGAGAAGTCGTTCCTATCCATGGCAACGAACTTCGGAGAGGTTCAGGTAGTCTAACCGCGGTGGCGTGATTGACTACAAGTGCTACCAAGTGTGACGGGGTCACACAGCACCTTGCGCTAGAGGAAGTTATCTTCCGAGAGTACACAAACTCTCAGTGAACGGCAGTTCACAGGTCCCCTCTTTTATTAAAGAGAGCGAAGTGACCCAAATAAGGTAGATTGTAAACTGAGTATATTTATAGGTAGATTAAGTTTGGGTTTAATACAAACTGTTAGTTACCTATAGAAATGCAATGTCATTTAACCAATGGTTGGCTTTGAACGACCTTGGTACCTTGTACCAAATATCTCGGAGTATGACGTGTCATACTCCTGAAGTGTGAAGTGTCACACTTCATGTAACCAGGGTACACTTAGGGATACGTACCCCGTTACACAGTGGCTTCTCCAGTCGACAAGCAACCCCAATGTCAGCTCACAGCAGGGCGAAACAAGCGGAAATCAGCAGCAGATACCGGCGGAGACAGCCCGTAGCAGTGTGCCAAGCATCTATGAGCCTAGTGGTTATGGCAGAGTCTACATGGATGCACTGGACATGCAGAGCGGGCTCCATGTCGCTGCTGACGCAAAGGTGGCGAAAGCCTACCGTGAAAACGCCGAATACGGATTGTTTGCCCTATTTGTGACGGCCACGTTTCGCCACAGTCTCCTGGCATGGACATCAGATGTTCTTACTGCTAGAGGCCAGTTCAAACTTACTGAGAGTGAATTCAATGCATATTGCGGGCTTGAAATTGCAATTAGTATTTGTTCGCCGAGTGATATTGCTGAGTATTGGTCTGACAGTCGTTTTCTTGGTCAAGCTGCCTTTATAGATACTATGCCGAGGACAAGATTTCAGAATATCCGATCCGCGTTACTGTTTCACCCTCCGAACGACCCGACACTCGATGCGCTCAACGAATAGAAAGAAAAACCCGTTATCAATCACAACATCATGTGAACTGCACGCAGGCGGGTTTGAACCCTACCCGATCGCGTAGGAGGGTCAAGCAAGCCAGATTCCAGGACCCACAAACTTGATTCTTCAAAGTCAAACAATTTGTTCGTTGTACAACACATAGGCTTTCTAAACGAATATAACACACAAGCAGTGTTGTATTCATTTACAGCACATATGCCTTATATGCGGGGTAAGACAGTAGTCTGCTTGAAACCATCCAGAAGGTTCGCTGTCTGGACGCATGGCATTGTTGAGGCAAGAAGCTGCCAGGGGTGTCATATGGTCATTTCTAAAGGAAGGAGCTGGAAGAATGAGCTTGATGCGGCTGGTTGGAAAATGATCTTGCCTTACCCCCCCCCCTCGCTGGGGAACTGCGCTCGTTGGACGATATTTCTGTGACGAGCACGCTGCGGATTGGGCAAAATTAGCGATTGAATTATGGTTGGTGCAGGCCGTACTATTGCGGTGGTCAGTCTTTAAAAAGTGGTGATGCTAGTGACATTACTGTGCTAGCCGTGCTTTAGCGGTGCTGATAGTATAGTTTTGGTGTTTTTATTGGTGTAAACAGTACGTCCTCCAGTTGGCCCAGTAATTCCCACTCTGGTAACCGGGCATTGGCGGGGGCCGGGGGGGGGGCAGACGAGACTGGGGACAAATTCGAAAACCCGCCGTTGACAACCCTGGTTTGGACGGTAATTTGTCAAATGAGCTTAAGTGCTCATGTTGGGCTTTAATGGGTTGGCTGGAGTTGTTAGCTAGTTAGATGACCAAACACCCACCACGGGAACGAAAGGGATCGATAAAAATCCAGGAGTCGATTAAACTAATGAGTATAGTTTCTCACGCTCTTTGCAAGTCATTCAAGGTGATAAAAAGGATTCCGCGTTATATTCATGTGCCATGCAGTGCCAGCGTTCACTTGACGTGAGCACTAACGCTTTACTTTTTAATACATACTGTAGTACATCCTTTCGTTGGGCAATATGAGATGTACTGTAGTACTAGACTACTGTATCATGTGGAGTCTCTAGCGGTAATGGGAAGGAAAGAGTCTGCCCAATTGTCGAGCCATTTCTAACACGTCTACGACAAGAAGTGCTAATAGTGAGCGCGGCATGATTTTTAGAATTCTGAATGAGCTGAATTTTTCGGTGGTCGCATTGCCCCGCCAAAGTTGAACTTGACCATCACTCCCCATCCATCTCCCAATTCCGCACTCGTCGCCATGGTCAAGCGCCGTGCCGCCACCGGCGCACGCAATATGAAGAAGCCGTGCTGTCTTGTACCTTCCTCCCCCGACTTCATCACGCTACCAGACCTGGTGACGCTGCTACATCTGCAGCTCGTGCCGTTCCTGACACCACACGACCTCTCGCGCATGCTGCGCTGCCTCTCACGCCTCCTCAAGCCTGAGTTGAGTGAGTCTCTCGCCACTTTCGGCCTCAAAATCTTCTACGAGCGAGACTCCGTACATTTCGGCCAGAAATGCTGCTCAGACTGGCATCAGCTTGTCCCGGAGGAAGCCGAGGGCGGCGAGGGCATGTGTATCGAGTGCTTCCCCGACGCACCGAAAGATCTACCGCTCCCTCGCCTGCGCAACGCCCGCGTGCATCTCCTCGAGGCCATGTGTCTAGCAGATGACGGATTTACTCTCGTGTGTGATGGAGTGCTTCAGATGCACTACGGACAGTACGCTAGTCCTCGATTTGGGTCCATGCAGCCCGTGGTCTTCTCGCTGGCTGAAGCTATAGAGAGGCAGCGAGAGGAGAAGCCGACAAAAAGCAGGAGCACGGGGACGATCCAGACCGACGAGATCGACACAGATGACGTGGAACAGTTGACAAGACTCCTGGATACAGTGCAAATGGGGGTCGGAACGCAGTTTTTCAGCGGCAGGAAGCAGCACTGCACTCCCGGGAACGCCGTTGAAGCGCATTGGCGCAATATCGCGGTGGATCTTGAAACGGGAACCACAATCTGTCGCTATTGCCAGCTCATTGTAGAGCACTCGTCCAAGCATCGATGTGAGAGATGCACGTTAGTCTTCGCTCGGCTCCTGCAACAACACTGTGCAGCGTTGTATCAGCCGCTGAAGCTGTTCATGCTCCGAAATCTGAAGCACGTCCGATACGTGAAGCCATGTCGGGGCTGGAATTGCACCAACAATGACTTTCAAGGAGACTACCTGATGGATTTGATTGCAGGATTCACGCCCGCTGGAGTGCTGTGCGGCGTTTACCTGACGGATCTTCGCATTTTGCCCAGAATGATCAGCGACCGACTTGCTTTAGGAGCTTTTAAACCGGTCATAGAGCGCAGACCCGTGCAACGTGCAGAAGAGTGAGGAGGGGAGGTATGTTCACCCTATATATACTGGTATTAGCGGGAGTTTTGGTGCTGTGCAGGTCGCTAGCAGTGATTTAAAGGGATATTTACTTGCTGGCGCTGTACGAATTGTGGACCTTACAGCGATGATAGACGTCTAGGTTTCCTGACTCAAGGGTGTGCGTTGAAGCTGTCTAAGTTGCTGGATTCCTTTAGCGCAACTCAAGGTTTTAAATTCTAGAAACTTCACTTCAAGTTGCAAGCTCCTGACGATCTTCCTCATTTTTGAATTAATCCCGAAACAGCACAACGGAAGCAACTCGATGAATAAGGGCAGCAGCACACAGGAGACGACCAATAAAAGAACCAAAACTAGTTCAGTGGATGATGAATCGTCGCTGTCGGACGTGCTAGCAATGCTGCCGTTGCATCTTTCCTCATTCCTGTCGCCAGAGGACGCGTTGAATCTGTTGATACACTGCTCTCCTTCTGTCTCGCAGGATGTACGCGATGCTGTTGCCACACAAGGTCTGAAAACTTTCTACGAACGAGAAGAGGTGCATTTCGGCAAAGGGTGTTTGCGCGACTGGCACCGCTTGGTGCCGGCAAGGACAGTGGCCGGTCACCGCGATCGCTGCGGGTGCAGACGTCACGATCTGCCATGTGATCTGTCTCTTCCTCGCTTGCTCAATGCTCGTCATCATCTCTTAGAAGCCATGTGTTTGATCTGCAAAGGCATTCAGCCGCACTGCTTCCAGGTTCTTCAACTGGACCGCAGCTTCGAGCGTCGACAGTACGGAGTTCTTCAACCGGTCGTGTTCTCTCTTGCTACGGCGCTTGAAGATCAGTTGAATGTGGCGAGGAAGATTGGACAGTCGCTGGGTCCAATTAACGTCAACGATGTGGCGGAGCTCACCCGCTTGATGGACAGTCTAGAGACGGACTTTGGCTCGCGTTTCTTCCGTTCGAAAGAACGCAGTCCGGCGGGCATGGTGGAAGCGCACTGGAGGGATATACACGTGGATTTAGCTACTGACACTACGTTGTGCCGTTTCTGCGATACTAATACAGACAGCATGGTCGAGGGTCCATTAAACCCGCAGTTCAGAGAGGCCGAGTACGAGTTCTTGATGCGGCAGCACTGTCGAGATGTCTACCAGCCTCTCAAAAAGTTCATGACGCGTCATCTGCAGCACGTTCGCTATGTGCGTCCTCCACGTGGATGGAACGAAGCTGGCGACAACTTCCAGGGAAATGAATGGCTCGATCTGATCGCGGGCTTCACACCTGGAGGTGTGCTCTGCGGCGTGTACCTGACAGACATTCGCATCCCGCGCGCCTGGATCAATGACCGTCTTGCCCCCGGCGCGTACCCCTTCGACGAGACTGCAATCGACCTCACTCGCTTGCGTATCGCGTACCACTAAAGGATTCAAGGCTGGAAATTCTGCTCCATGGCGTTGATTGCCTTGAAGGATCGCGTCGTGGACTTGTCGCCGTGTCACAGCTGGATATCGAGATGACGTTCTAAATGTAGCCATCTGAGCGCATGCAGACTGGAAGTGTACATAAACTCAAACGTCGTGACGTCATGAGCTCAACTGACACTTTCTTCAAAGTGATGTAACGCTAGGCTATTCTTACTGTTAATTCCCATACGAGGTTCCCATACGAGGTTTTAGCTTATATCGATGAATGCCGTGAGGGATGTCCGCATTTGGTGACAGCCTAAATATTATTAATAGCCAACGCGCAGATTCAAACACGCTACATTTTGTCCTTCACCGCATCGTCAGATTCTCCATGTGTTTTTCCCCTTCCACATCTCCCAGCTTATCCCGAAACGACCGAACTTGCACTTTAGGTATCTGCGTTACTTCGCCTCATTCCCCAGTTTTCCAGATCGCTGCACCATGCTGCACGTAGCCAAACGACCATTCTTTCTGCTAGCCGGTGCCAGTGTCAGTGCCAGCGCCAGCTTCGTGTATCTCGGCGATGACGACAAAACTAGGAATATTGACTCAAACGACCCAACAATTTCACCAACTTCCAGACGCAATACGAGGCGACAGATTCGATCGAGAACGTTAAAAGCCACGTCGAGACAAGAACTGGGACTGCAACAAAGTTTAATCCGCGATGTGGCGTGTTGGCTGTCGTCCGCTTCTGTGGCCTCCACGCGTCAAACATTCACAACCCCGTCACTTCCCTATCCGACAATGGAAAAAGGCAAAGAAGTCCTCGAAGTGGCGATGACGAACAGTCTGGTGTATCAAAGTCTCGTGAGCTGGTTACAACAGATCTCCCCCGAACAGAACGGATGGGATGCTGACCAAATTCTGGGCAGCTCCAGCTTCGCCATGCTCGTGAATTTATTGTCCGATTCGGATAACAATTTTTCACTCCAGGGAGATTTAGAGGAAGAATTGTACCGCGCTATGAGCGTGTTGTCGACTAATCCGCAGTGTGCGCAAGCCATTGCAGAAAGAGCGACACGATACGGCAAGCAGGCGTTGCTGAATCTGGCCGAAGTGCACGATAATGACTCGAGAGTGGGGGATGCACTGCATCGACTGGTAGCTTTCGACAGCAACAATTGCCACTTTGGACCGGCAAATCTGGCGTCACTCTTGTCATTGGCTGTTGCAGATGTACCGGATCCATACCTCGAGTTCGCGTTGTGGGGGTTAACCAAGGCTGCAACGCCCGAAGCTGTTAGCAGACGCTACAAGTTGCGGAAAGTGATTTTTGGAGATGACAGTACAGCCAAGACACGTCGAAAACTTATCAAAAGTGATAAATTGTGGGACGCACTGGCTGGAATTGGCCAGGAACGCTCGATACTCGTGCAACTCCAAGCTGCTCGACTCATGAATGAGCTCAGCAATGACGTAGCAGTGGCACAAAGGATGCGACGTCACGCAGATACTATCGTGCGGTGGATGAGCTCTTCGAATGAAGCTCTGGCGTGTTGCGCCATCGAGATTGTAGCCAAGTTATCTGAAGTCGACCACGGTTTACAACGACAACTCATTGATGCTGGGGCGCTGGATACGCTGCGAGCTCGTATCCTCGAAGACTCGGACCGTCAAGTGACTGCAAAACTGCTTCAAGCGATTCGCTACCTCGCCACTCCAGCAACTACAGACGCAGCTTTTGTATTGGATCAAGACGCGCTGTCATTTGTCAGCGATTCGGGCGACGGTGAGCCTCTTTACGACGACGATATCGAGAACATTAACGCTGTGCTGAGACACGGATACGTGGATGGCTGGATCGAGCTCTTCACTGCGTTTCTAAAGAGTGGAGACGAGAACATCCGGGAGGAAGCAGCGCTGTGTCTCGAGCAGATGGCGACGTATGGTTCTCACAAGGACGAGGTGGTGCAGGAATGGCTCGTTGCTGTCTTGGACTCCGTGCTGGATAGAGTCCCTCTTGAAGTCGCCCAAGGAGCTTGCAGTGTACAAGAAGCGAGGTCTCGCACGCGACCCATTCAAGGCAATACTACCACCACTTTGTCGTACGAAGCATCTCACGCTAAGGCCCTAAGAGCTTTGGCGTTCGTCATGGAGCGAACCGAGTGTCAAGAAGAGCTGGTTCGTCGTGGAGGTGTTCCGATTTTCCAGATTTTACTGCGAGCAGAGAACGAATCGGTGCAACGTGAGACTGCGCGTGTACTGGCCAATCTGTTCGCGTGTGACGACATGGCCGACGCGCTTCGAGACTTCACGATGGACGACTGTCAACTGGAAGAATCCCTTGAGAGATGGACAAAGTCTGAGGACATTCGACTGGAAGCGATGGCACATCGAGCTCGTTCGAACCGAAGATTCCAGATGTCACGTCAACGAGGCGTAGCTATGGACAATGAGGTGAAGTATCTCGACGGTATTCACACTCTCCACTTGTCTGGAAGTTCGAGAGACCAGCAAAGCGAGTACGACGTTGATATCGTTTTCCTTCATGGACTACTGGGATGTCCATTCGGTACGTGGACGTGTGGGGAGGAGGAAGACACGGTGTGGGCTCAGCAATGGCTGCTTGATGATATGAAGCAGGAAGGTCTTAACCCACGGGTCTTGTCTGTGGGCTACGACTCGCAACTCCTCGCATCCGGGTCTATCTGGAAACCCATGTGCTTCGAGGAAACTGGCAGCGAGATCCTATCACAGCTCAACGCAGCGCGTGTTGGCTCTGGCGATCGCCCCGTGGTCTTCGTGACTCACAGTCTTGGCGGTGTCTTGCTAAAGCAAGTTTTATTGACTTCCGAGTCACAAGAGAACGAGTCGAACCTCATTGACAACGTGAACGGCGTTGTGTTCTATGGAGCTCCTCATCATGGCAGTCCTGTAGCTCAGAGGATCCAGACCTTTAAGCCTCGACACATCACCCAGCATCCAGTTACTGAACACTTGCATGGGACTCCTCATCTAGAGATGCTGAACGACTGGTGCTCGGAGGTGTTTGAAGAGAAGAACATCCCGTGTCTGAGTGTGGGCGAGAGTTTGCCGTGTCGTCTTCCTGTCATTGGGGTCGAGGCGTTGGTGGTGCCGTCAGCTTCGGCAAATCCTGGCTTCGGCGAGTTTGTGCCCATTTCTGATGCCACGCACGTAGACGTCTGCAAGCCAGCGAGTGTCGATGACTTGCGCTACAAGCTGGTACGGAAGTTCATATCCAAGAATGCAACGACGAGAACCTCAAGCGTGGGCTGCGGCGATCTCCTTTAAGGGTTAATATTTATTTACTGTTAGTCGGTTTACAGGATATCGATAGATTTGCGTTTTATCAGCCCCTTTTTGCCGTTTTGAAAAGGTAATGCGATCGCAGATACAACAAATCGATCCATCTCATTTTTACGACTGTTTATATTTCGACCATGATCGATGAGCGACATTCCATCTGCTAACCTGAATACCTTTACCAAAATTATATCCTACGTAGGATATTACCCAAGTTCGGTGTTAGGTACGCTTTCTTCTTCCTCTTCCGAGTACGAATCTGCTCTCGTCGTACCCATTTTGATAGGATAGACGAGCTTCGCGCGTGCGCTAGTAGCGCTTCTGTGCTGCTTTGATGCGCTCTCTGTTTGCTTCGAATGAGAATACTATCTTTCTAAATCATTAACGTTCTAGTAGTAAGTAGAAATAACTGAATAACTTGTGGTGCTCACTTGTGAATAACGCTAAAAACGAATGAGCTAAGGTCGCTTGATTTAACAGATAGATTTACTTTCGTTTTTCATTAATTTTAATTTAATTCTAAAAAACGTTGCAAGAAAAACAAGCATGCATACTTACGAGACTGCGTTCGACTCTGGCACGAATTCTGACTCGGAACACCCCTCGCGCTCGAAAAAGTTCGGCACGCTTAGCATCCACGCTGCACCCATGTGTAAATACGCATGTGATCGTTGCTGGGTTCATCTCCTTGATCGTGTCCTTCAAGTGGCCCACCCACATGTTTTCATCAATGTCCACAGGAAAAACATTTCCCGCTACACCAACGATCGTATCTTTCCTCGAGGAAGAATTTTTTAATCTGTCAGTTTTAAAATTTATTTTTCTTCCAGACATCAAGAAATTATTAATATATAATTATTTTAATTAATCTCCACAATTCAAGCCTAGCACACCGCTTATTGGTGTTTACCCTTATCATAGCTAGGCGTAATTAGGATAGATATGTACCCGAATGCTATTTAACGGCAATCTTTTACTGGTAACGTTAGTACCATTTTGGTGCCATTCAAAGTAAAAAGCGAATGTGGATCTCCAATCAGTCAATACAACGAGATTTCTGTATTCGATGCCCTTATTTGCAGAAATAACGATTTTTTTATTTTTGCCAGGCCAGAAATTAATCATTATAGGCTTAGGGAAAAATCAATTGTATTTTTGAATGGTTATTTTTTCGTATCAAGTTGAATCTGAATTATAGCATTTGGCGCAGTGCGATAGCAGCTTGTACACCGAAGACATGCAAGAAAAAAGTACAATTGTTTTGTTTTACAGATCAAATACTCTCCCAATAATTTCGGGTTTCGATGGTCTGCAGAGTCAGAAGTTGTACCGAGTGTTTGTCGTCAGCATGTTGTGTGCAGTATCGTCCTAAACATATACAGACCATGCACCGGTGAATGATAATTGCACTATAACATTTAACAAACCTCAATATTTTCGAGATCGTCTCGAGCTCCAAGCGACGTGAGGTGGCTGTAAACGTGTGGATGAAGGTGTTTCGCGGCTTTATGGGCTGCACTCTCTTTGAGGACACTGTCGTCGTGGAATTTCATGTCTGGGAATGTCTTTGTTAGCAATTTTACACACTTTTCAGACCCGTGAGTAGAAGCGACGTGGAGCATTGTATAGCCCTGTAATACAGCAGTTAGAGCGGTAAATAATTTGCTTAGAGCTCGTTACTATACACACATTCTTCGCCTTCTTCCAGAAATCAGCTTTTCTAGACTCGTGAAGCAAGTTGAGCACTTGGACATTATCGATGGATGCAGCCAAGTGAAGTGGAGTGTAACCCATACGGGAGTCGGCTTCATTCATACTCACACCAAGGTTTAAAAGAGCCTCCAAGACATTGACATGGTTGTACGCTGCAGCAACATGCACTGTCGACCACCCCTACGAATCAACATCAGAGCTGAGATGGGTAACCATTAAGGAACTATAAAACTGAGCTAAAGCATACCTTCGCGTTCTCAATTCGTGGGTCACCTTTGACCTGGCAGAGAATACTCACAACCTTCGCGCGGCCAAATGTAGCAGCCAGCGTCATCATCGTCTCGCCCTACAAAGCACAAGCGACGATATGGTTGATAACTCCGCGCGAAGTACGTTATCTTTCCTACTCGCACCCGAAAATCTTTTCCGTTAATCTGTTGAGGGAGCGAATACGAGAGCATCAGTTGCCTGGACTGGTGCCACGGGGCCCCATCCGCTGCAAAACTGCACGCCTGGTCGAATGCAGTCCAGAATCCAGGCTCTGGAACATTACGCCCAAAATGCGTCGCGAAGGAAGCTTCAATGAACTGGTCCTTGTCACTAGGAGCGAGGATCGAGCCCACAAGAGCCCGACGTCTTGCTTCAAGCCATGCGTGGTCGGGTTTCGCAGTCATATTCTATGGGAGATTTTTCCACTGAGAACAAGCGCGTTGAGGGCGAGTGATGTCTGTTTACCGGTGCTCTATCATTAGCGTCTCTGTTGGAAGTTTTCGGAACTGTCGATGCCGTCTACTACTTGGTATCATTCCTACTATTTTCAGCGAGACATATTCCCACGACCGTGACCGTCTAAGAGCTCATACCCGTGTGGGTTTCGCTCATTTCCAAGAGGTCGACTGGGTTATCACTTCAAGGTCGGTCACTAATTCACCTTACTATGGCAACTCGCGGTCACTCCATGCTGACTCCGCCCCCCTCTCGCGACAAAGGACTGAACTCGAAATCTCGCAAGGACGACGGAAACCAGGTAGTTCCGTTCTCCATTGACAGCGACGATGACGATCATCCCGAAGAGAAGCAGCTTAACGAAAACAGAAAACCGATCCTGCAGAGAAGACCGTCGCCAAAGGCTGCGGCAGATAACGCACAAGACATTCGACAACGTGGTAAACCCGAGCACGCTTGGAACGACGCAAGTCACGGCTCTGCCTACTCTTCAGACGAAGACTCTGACTCGGACGACAGTGATCGAGACGACAAGTATAAGACACAACGAGCAAGTGAACGAAGTGAGTCTCCTCATCGAAGTAGACAGGTATCCCAGCAGTCAGACGAAGACTCGCACAGTGAGATGGGAGACGAATCCGTTAAGCCGTCGACGCCAGCCGTCGTCTTCCAAACGCCAGCAGGTACAGCAACTAGTGTGGATCTATCTCGACTATCCAAACTCGCAGTGTACCCTGGAACGGAGACGAACCTTGTCCAAGGCCATGTTGTACGTGTCAAGACTATGCTGAGCTCACAATATCACTTCTTCATCAACGACGAGCTCCTTCTGATGGCCGAGAAGCAGATGAAGAACCGCACGTCAAACTACCATCTCTTCGACATGACACGATCGGTAGCAATATCCTCCAAATTATCAAAGAAAAGCGGCAACTACATTGGCAAATTGCGCTCAAATTTCTCGAAAAAGAAGATTGTTCTGGTTGGCAACTTCAGCCGCAAGACGGAGCTGGGAGCGATGGTCTTTGATAGCACCTTCAACTCTTCCGAGCCCCGTCGACTGACGGTCATCTTGCCTCCTCTTTCTAAACGGCAAGAAATTGAGGGCCTCACAGTCGGGGACAGTTTATCTTCTTTCTCAATGCTCATCGATCTACACCGAAGCGTAACAAACGCCGACATGGCTGTGACACATTCTCCCTTGTCTCCACAGTCGCTCCAGTTATTCGAAAACAAAGACCCTGTCTTTGAAAATGGCTTCTATCGTCTCAATTTCAATGGCCGCGTCTCTATCCCGTCAGTGAAGAACTTCCAGCTTGTACGCGCAGGGCCTGGCGAGGCTCCAAACTCAGAGCGACCTATCTACCTCCAGTTCGGCAAAGTAAATGACAAGAAGTTTCACCTGGACTTCAGAGCTCCGATCACTCCGATTCAGGCGTTTGCTGCGGCTTTAGCGCAGTTTAATCTTTAACAGTGCTACAACATTACGCTGCTAATTATCAAATCTAGCACTTCTCCGTTTTGAACAAAAGTTGTCAATAGTACCATTACGCTTAGGGGGAATTTAAGCGGTTTTTTTGTAGTTTAATAGAAGTAAATGAAGTTGCCATTCGTTTTGACAAGGAGAGAAAATGATTTCGCAGTGGTACAATTTTGAAGTAAGACGGTAGAATTTCACAGCTGTGAAATCTGTCCAATCAAAAGTAAGCCACGACGCCTTGAAGAGACCAAAGGTCTCATGCACGTTGGCAGATGTGGTGACGCTTTTGCACACTCAACTGTTGAAGATCAGGTTGGCGCCATGGCAGGAGAAGCAACGCCGGCGTTCGACACAGATCGGAGTATGAGAGGCGGCACGGGACAAGAAGACTTTGCAGGATATTCCAACAGGAATCTGGGACTAGTAGGAGTTCTCGCTCAGCCGCTGAAGGAGAAATCTATTCATTCGTACATTCAGTCGTTGTGAGCACGTCATCTTGGCAGCGAGTGCACTTCACAAGAGGGTTCTGAGCCCAAACTGCGGACCTTCCAAGTGAGCGCCGGGAAACTGCTCAAGATGGCGGAGCGGCTCAAGTACAACAACGACGGTGTTCCCAAGAACTGGGATGGCAAGGACTGGTACACGTACAAGTGGGCCATGGAGGCGGTTTTCGGGGAGAAGCAGCTTACGGATATCGTGAGCGGTAAGATTGAGCGCGACAAGCTCTGTACGGAAGAAGGCAAGGCGGATTTCGACCTAAAGCAAAAGCAGATTAGGCGAATGATCGGAACGTCTGTGCCACCGGAGATCCTGCAACAGATAAAGGACATGGCGTCCGGCACAGATATCTGGGCAGCGTTAGTGGATCTGTTTGAAAACAAGACTAACGAGACCGTGAAAGTTCACACAACTAGGCGTTTGGTGAACGAGCTGTGGAGTATAAAGCTAGCACCCGGCGGTGACGCGAATCTACACCTATGCAAGCTGTTCAACATCAAGACTGAGTTGGAAACCTTGAAGTATGATGTTAAGGACATTGACATGGTGGAGATCATGCTGGAGAGCTTACCGCAGCAACATGAGTTTGAAAGTCTGAAGACTGCAGTCCGTTACAGTGCTGACTCTAGTCGCTTCACACCCACTAAGGTACGCGAAATGATTCGGTCGGCGTCAGCACGACAGGCCGAATTCAACCGCGGCCGGAAAAGTGGAGAAGGACGTGGAGGACTACAGAAGAGCCGTGAAAATACTGGGAACAAAAGCGGAGACAAGGGCAAGTCTGATGAATATGCAGTCTCTGGATTCAAGAGGATGAGGAAGTGTTTCGTGTGTAGAAGCACTGATCATGTCAGGTAAATTGTCCAGAGAGAGCGAAGATGAAAGCTGATGCCGAAGCTAAGGAAGGCGAAGAAAAGCGGAAAGCACGTGGATGTCTGACTTTTCTTCAGTAGACTCCTGACACACCGAATTCGAAATCTGGAGATGAGGATGTCGGGGTGGTAACGGGTGCCATTGGAACTTTGGAAATTGGCGAGGTAAATTACAATGAAGTTCCTGGGCAGCTCGTGAGTGGAGAGCCGGACTTGAATAGCGGCTGGTGGCTCTTTGACACTGCAGCGAACGCCTATGTGACTGGCAACTCTGCTGACTTTAAGGCATTTACTGAGGACACAAGCAATTCGCAGAGTGTGCATGGTGTAACTACAGACTTCGCGGCGCGCGTCGTTGGTGTAGGCACTGTTGCTTTGGAGTCGGAGGTGAATGGGGTTCAGACCACGTTGGTGTTGAACGATGTGTTGTACGTGCCCGGTGCGAAGTTCGGACTCATTTCACCAGGTCGAGCTGTTGAACAAGGGTTGAGCTTTGAGCATGACGGCGATACTCACAGCTTCAACATACTGGATGAGGGTATCATAGTGGCTGTTGCTAAACCAGTGGAGGCGACATGGGGATTTTACGCCTCACACTCAAATGAAGGAAGACCACATCACAAGGACATTGCAAACCTGACTGCCGTTGATGGTATGGCATCGTTGAAAATGTGGCACAAACGTTTAGCACATACGTGTCCACAGTACCGGAAGACCATGGTGGACAAAGGGCTAGTGCGAGGGATGATGTTAACGCAAAGACAAAAGGAAAATTGTGATGCGTGTCACCTTGCAAAGCAGAAGAGAAAGTCATACCGGAAGAAACTTGATAGGGGGCTCGAGAAGCCTAATCAAGTGGTGTTTGCAGATCTGTTGATCCCAAGCAAGGGAAACGGAACTCGGTACAAGGCAATGCTGGTGATTCTGGATGGCTACTCTCGGTTTGTGACTATTCGCATGCTAACAAGCAAGTCAAGCGAGGTAGTGAACGAGCACTTGAAGCAATACATTCTCTGGGCAGAGAGACAGGCAGGACGAACTCGCACTAGTAATGTGCGAGAAACCTTTAAGGTGTGCCAAGTATTGACAGACAAGGGCGGGGAGTTCGTTAACGCGGAAATTGACGGGTGGTACGCAGCGCGAGCCATCGAACCAATAAAGTTGGTCCAAAGTGTTCTCAACTGAACCTGTGCGAGCGCACGCATCAGTCGTTGGTCGGCATGACTAAGTCGATGATGATCCAAGCAGGATTTCCACGCCGTCTGTGGCCAGAGGCCATGAACAACGCAGTTTACGTAAAGAATCGGGTGTTCAACATGAGTACAAGGTATTCCGTATGAGAAGATGTTTGGAGTGAAACCAGATCTCCATCACATCAGAACCTTTGGAGCATTGGCCTACGTGCACATACCTCTAACTTCAGGCCGTCGTAAGCATCACGACAATGCCAGAGTTGGGTTTGTTCTTGGGTATGCGGAAGACGTGGTTGGATGCAAGGTGTATTTTCCAGAAGAGCGAACGGTGAAGTTTGTTTCTGACCTGCGTGTTAAGGAGGAGGTACTTTATCGTGATCGACATGAAATTGATACAGAGCTGGAAACAGGACTGGAGTCGTTGCACTTTGAACAAGACCCTGACACTACAATCACCGAGTCGTTGAGTGGCGAGTCCATGGAACTCGAAGAGTGGGAGGACTCACTCGATGATGTGAATATAGAAGAGAACTGGGGAGTGGAAGATGAAGTTCCAGACGGTGAATATGACCATGATGATGGTGTCTGTGAACGACGGCCTACTCAGTCGACATGCTACGTAGAAGAGTTTGATCGAGGCGTAAGTGCGAATTGCTCCCTAACGCGGAACGCTGTAGCAAGTGAAGTTGATAGTGAGATGCTAGCTAGCAAGCAGGCGGAGACTGCCGTGGATAGCGCAATTGCAGCAGCATTGAAGGAACTAAATGACGAGTCCGAAGGCTACAACATTGCGGATTGCGATGGAAGTGAATCGGTTACAGTACAGGTTGGTTCAGAAGTAGATGAAGCTGAAGACAGTGACTGCGGAGCAGAATCACAGCCCGATCAAAGTGGAAGTATCGTGGAAAGTGATGTTATTTATGTGGTCAGTGGTGTTGCGACTGCGGCGGACAATGAACGCCAAGTACCCGAAGATGTGAAGCCACAGCACGAAGCGGTCGATACTAGTGCTATACTACATCAGAAGGTAGTTGGGAAACGGACTCATCGTGATGAAACATCATCAGAGGAGGAAAGAGTGGAGCGCGATGCGTATAAGATGGAGCCGAAACGCAAGCGTGCTGGTCTGCGTGAAGCAGATGAATGTCGTCGGCCAGGCTACCTGGATGAGTACATTGTGAGCGCGGTGCAGAAGACTGTCAGAGTATTAGATGCTAACGGTGAGCCGATAAGGGCAAACCAGGTGAAAGTCCCGAAGAATCATCGTGAGGCGATGCGATCCAAGTATGCAGATTTCTGGTGCCTAGCGGAAATGGAAGAGATGGCGTCTTTAAGGGCAAAGGGTGTTCTAAAGAAAATTCCTTTTACTGAAGTACCAGAGGATGCTAAGCCAATTCGAGCTGGATGTGTTTATGCGTTGAAATCAGATTTCCAAGGGTATGTAATTCGGTTCAAGGCGCGTACCGTAGCATTTGGAAATTATCAAAGATCAGGCATTGACTTTGTGGAGACCTTCTCACCAGTGGCCCGCATGTCATCGTTCAGGATGTTGGCAGCTCTTGCTGTAATCCTGAAGCTAATACTCTACGGAGGGGATGTAAACACGGCGTATCTGAACGCGTGGTTGGGAATACATCAGTACCTGAAGGAAATCGATGGATATCCATGTGAAATTGCTGGGCACATGTACGTTGTCGTGAAAGCCCTTTATGGCTTGAGACAGTCAGGCAGGGAGTGGAACGCAGAACTGAATAAGTGGATGCTGAAGCAGGGATACCTGCGTTCGTCGACGGAACCAAAGTCTGTACTATCGGTTTGATGGTGACGTTACCATGCTGGTGTTGGTATACGTGGATGACATTGTGGTTGCAACAAACAGTGAAGCATCGAAGTGCAAGCTGTTTGATGATATTGACAAAGCTTATAGAATTAAGGATCAAGGAGAATTGAAGCAATTCTTAGGTGTGGAGGTGATGCAATCTGTAGAAGGCATAAAGATTAGCCAGACCAAGTACTCCCGCGTTATCTTGGAAGCTCTAGGCTTTGAGAAGGCGCATGCTGTGGGGAATCCGATGAAGACTAACATGCGACTGGTACCTCTTGAAGAAGATGGAGAATCTGTGATTAGCTTTTCGTATCGTAAGGTCGTGGGGATGCTAATGTACTTGGCCACCGGAACAAGACCGGATCTGGCGTTCGCGGTGGGATAGTTGAGCCGATTCGTAGCGAAACCCTCAAGTAAGCATGTGGGAGCACTCAAGCGTGTGGTTTGCTACCTAGCGGGGACAACGGACTATGGAATTACATATAGTAGGTCTTCGGAAGAGGCTATGTGGGTGGAATTGGAAGGATACTGTGACAGTGATTGGGCGAATGATCCTGAGACTCGCAAGAGCACTACAGGCTTCGTATTTACACTGGCAGGAGG